GCCAAGACATTACAGGAGCATCCTTGTAGAAACACATAAGACAGTTCTCTTTATCGTAGGAAGGTGCATCTTCAATCCCTCATGTCCTTTGGAGGATTTTGGAAATACAACTATGAAACCAACCAATTCTCTCTTGGACAACCAGAAAACGCAGGTGTATGGCAGAGGCTCTTTGCCACTGTTTGTCTATGTAACCTTGGGTATGACACTCACAGCCCCACACCTCAGTTCCCATGTTTGCAAAACAGGGATAAAAGTCCCTTCTCATTTTTGTCAAACATGCAGAGAACCTCTGATAAAAAGATTTCCAAATTGCGAAGAGTATCCCCAGAACAAAGCGAGCCGCTTCTTAGAGCACCAGCACTGAAATAATTAAGGTTGAAAACAAAGTGCTCTAAAAATTGACTTTTCTAAATGCCCCAATATCCACATGATTATTTGGATTGTCTTGTACCATATGAAGATAGTGTTAGAGCTCCAAATCTGGAGTCATTTGAACAGAGGGATAAAAATACATTCCCCCTGCAACAGGATTTTACAAAAACTATTGTAACTTTTTTTTGTATACATCTGGGGCAGAAAACACAACTTTAATGGTCCTCGATGTGATCTCAGCCACTTGCATTCATTTCAGCTAAGAGCGTGGTACTTGCTGCTGCTTTGCAATGCTGAAAAAAAGTATTAAGGTAAAAGTTTGGCTCCTTAGAATGATTCATGCCAAAAACTCACCCTCCACAGAAACTGAAAAGCACATGTGCAGAGAGCCTGGGCAAGAAGGTTTCTGGACAGTCTATTGTCACATTATATGGTGGCATAATGGGGCATGGAGTGGGGTCAATGAGACAGCACTGTAACCAGGCACTTTACATTAAACCCTACCGCTGGCAGGAATCAGAGAATGCTACTATTATCCACTCCAGTAAAGGGCTTTGTTTTTTCACTTTGGGGAAATATGCCTGGCTAATTTCCACAGCTCTTTTAGAAGGGTCTATAGTATTTTCTGAAAGACAATAGATTACACATACTCTCCACAGTTTTGTGAACATGATTGAGGGGCATATTTCTACTTTTGCACCTTGAGGATTAGTATACTATAGTCCCAACATTGCTTCATTACAGGGAAGATGAAAAGACAGCTAGGATAATATAATCTTTATCCTGAACATGGACTTGAGTGTGCTTATGATCAAAGGTTTCTGACACTTCTCCACCTAACATGAAGCGTCCATTACATTTTTAGAATCTTCTACCTTTTTTAGTGTGGAGCTAGGGACTAGGGAGGAGGGGATAACGGTGGAGGGGCATCTACATAAGATACTCTACTGTGCAGTAGAGCAGTTTACGGCACAGTAAGTGAACACATCTACATGTGAATACACTTACTGTGCCGTAAACTGCTCTAATCGCAAGTAAATTTCCTACCTGCATTGTCACAGGCCAGCTAGGCGCTGCGAGTGTATTAGCCGTTAGGCTGCTGGATTCGGGATCGAGCAGGTGAGTTGGGAGTGAAGCAAGGACAAGTTTCACTTATAGCAACAAAGGTAAATTTTACTTGTAGCAGCAAAGATATGGTTTACACATATAACAGTTAACAGACAGGCTAATCTAATAAACAGATAATACAATAAAAAACTGATAGTGATAACAACAGACAGACACATTGACAAAGAGTTCCCACTTGGTTGGCAATTTATCGGCAGTCCCTCAATGCCAGGTGCGCGCCAGGTTGTTTCAGCGAAGTCAGGTGTCCCCCGATCGATGCTGTTGGAGGGGGCACCGGGGAAGCTCCCTTGATCAGGATCTTATCCTCGCTCACACTGGGAGTCTGGAGCCTGGGCCTGGAACAGCAATGACCGTTCTGTTTCTTCCTTCCTTTCTACTGGTTACCTGACGTGCACGTTTTTTTATATTTTGCCTTATGCTAATCTGTTGGCTTTAGAGCGATTTACAATTTTACCCTACAGCTGTTACCCTATGGGATTGAAAGGTGCTAGAAATTATTATAAGAGGTTACTGCCTAAATTTGGGCTTATCCAATAAGCAAATTACACCACATTACTTTGAGGTTTGAAATTAGCATTTACTCCACCTAAGTTCAACCCACCTGGTTACTTCCTCTTTGGAATTTTTGGAATGTGTCCATCATACCTTGTGGTCAGGTTTGGTATTTTGACTGACCTTTAAGCAAGAACCGTTAGGTCAGCTAAAGTTTGCAGTTTTGTTTTTTAGCTCCGCTTCTTCGGGCTCAGTTAGTCTTATGACGGGTACAGACAGTTAATTTTAACATCCCGGTTATACTTGTGACAGACAAAATACATTTTGTGGGTTTCAATCTTGCAAGCTTTGCCTTAGCTAATATTACCACTGTCAGATGTCTCCAAGAAGCAGATATTATTTGCTATAATTTGCTCATTAACCCCTTTGGTTCTGGCCGTCACACTGTATATGCACTTGTGATTAGTTACCGTACATTAGTGCTCATGTAGATGCCTGGCCAGGAGCAAATGTGTTCCTGGTCAGCATGGGGGCAGGAGATCACTCCCTGCCTCCAGGAGCTGCCTGCTGCTGGGGCAGGTCTTACACTGAAGCCTGGGCAGGGACTATGTCCCTCTGCCCAGACTGGAGATCCTCATCTCCCAGCACCAGCTCTGCGGTTGCGGGGCTGGTGACAGGAGATCCTTATCTCCCAGCCTGAGCTCTGCAGTCATGGGGCTCAGGCTGGGAGATCCTGATAAGGAGCTCCCTGATGGCAGGGGCTGGGGAGACTGTTCCCTGCCCAGCTCTGTGATTGTGCAGCTGAGTGGAAAACAGGCTCTCCAGCCTGTTCCCCACAGATCCATGATCATGGAGCTGGGCAGGGAACAGGCTCTCCCCTGGGTGGTGCAGGGGGCTGGTGCAGGGCTGGCAGGGGCGGGAGCAGATTGCTGCCCTGAGCAGCAAATCTGCTCCCAAGTCCTTGCATGTGTAGATGCTAGGGCTGTGCGAAGCTTCAGGTGGTGATTCAATTTGGAGGAGATTCGGCCTGATTCGGTGGCTTTATCTCCAAATTTGAATCGAATCAGGGGACCAATTAAAACGTCCAAATTGATTTGAAGCTCTCTGAATCTTCAGAAAAGATTCAGAGAGCTTTGATGATTTGGATATGTGCGGGCCAGGAGCGCCCCGAGCCCTTTTTCGCGCTGCACGTGGGCTGTGGCCAGCAGCCCGGGCACGCGGGGGCGGAGAGGGAAGGCCTTCGCTCTGGAATTAGGCACGGACGCGTATCGGTAGTTTAAAAGATTGTTTACTTACACCGAGATGGCAATGGTGTAGGCTGGAAAGCTTGATTAAGTTGCAGTTACAGA